GCTTTATTCATATTCAAAATCTTTGATAATCCTTCACAAAAGCTTCAAAACATCAAGTATTCAATGTTAATTTTTCACACTGACATTATTTTCGTGCGCCACAAAGCGATTTGGAATATATCAAAGATGTGTGTGAATGTGTATTTTACAATTGAAAAAAATTTATATTAAAATGAAAAGTAATTTCCATCGTTCGATACTAAAAGTGAAAATTCAAAATGGCGTCAGTGCATTCGTGGCCGGCGGTTCATTTCCATCGCAACATCAGCGAGCTGAAATTTTCCGAGGTTTTCACTGGTCAACTATTATTGAGAAGACATAGATCTTCATCCTTAATCTTAATGGCACACCTGTTTGATGTGGATACAGATCATGTGAGTTTTTGTTTCGTTTATTATTTACAGCATCGTGCGACTTGAATTGCTGCGCTTAGCGACTGTTGTGCTTTAAATATGATGCGATATGTGCATGTTTTTCTTATATGATAAACATTTTGAATCGAAACAATTGATCTCTCAACGGAAAATAACTTGCTACGATAGATGTTAGAAATACGGTTAAAATTGATAGTATTTTAACAATGGGCAACAATTTCTTTTACAAGCATTGGAATCAAAACATTAAATTCTACACACAGATATCAACTTAAATACTATATAATTAACAGAAATAACTTAGAATTGCATTTACAAACTGTATTATGAAATAAATAGCTAAGCTAAGTTCATTTTATTGCTGCTTTGTTATAAGTAATAAAATCTATATTCGTATTAGAACAACCACAATAATATAAATTTAATATTCTACGACTATTTAATGCTTATAGAATTTATACTTAAGTACATGTACGCTCTAAGTAATTTTACACACTTATTTTCTCAGTACAAAATATATATTTTCAATGATTTAAATAAATTCTCTCATTCTCTTCTTTATTATCCAAATCCATACAATTTATTCGTTTTGCCTATGGAATTGTACCGCATTGCTACACATTACTATTTTGCTTGAAAATTCTCTTTACATTGGAGATGAAGACACATGTATAATAATAATATTTAGATACACAAGCGATTCTGTAAGTGCATATATTCCGTAACATATAGAAGTGGCATAAATTAATGAATCACGGTAATTATACAATAAATTGATCAAAACAAATACTGATTTTTAATGAATCGAGTGATTAATACGTTCATTAGCTGATGAAACAAAATCCGCATACAAGCGGTGTCATAGTCAAGGTCGGGCCGAATGCCTTGATTTGATCGTCAAGGCGATGGGCGCAGAAAGTGGGACTGTTATTACGTCAAGCCGAGCCAAGCCCGTTAGCTATTATATGCGCGATGCTGCTAGAGCTGTAGATGCATCGCTAGCGAACTAGCCTAACCTTGGACCTAATAATAACAAAACTACACAAGTGTGCAACACGCTACAGATAGCGATAGTGCATGTCATTGGTCATTTTACAGGAGGTCCGAAATGCAAACATCACGTCTCGAACGCGTATCATCGATCACTGAGACCCAATAATCGTAATTGAGAGTTATTTTGCAATTTACACGTTCTCTTTTAATTTTTTTTAAAAAAATTTATTTGCGATATATTTTTTAGCCAGATACAGAAATTTTGCCTTATTAACTTCCCGAAGGAGAAGTTTATGTTTTCATCAAAAAATCCGAATGGCTAATTTTATGTTTTCTCGACGTTTCAAGCCATTCTGAATCGAATGAGACCAAATTTGGAAAAAGTATGTGTGTGTGTGTGTGTGTGTGTGTGAACAGATTTTTTGCCGTAAATCGACGTTTTCTCCAAAACGGCTGGAGCGATTTCAAAAATTTAAAAGCCATTTGATGTATCTCAATGAGGACTATCGTCTCTGAGTTTTGTGCGGCGATCGGCCGGGCCATTTCTTTGTAAATTGCAGAAAAGTGAAAAATTTTTCGCCCACGTTTTAGCCCGCAATTCTGAATCGATTCTGAAACTTCAAAAACCATTCGATAGATATTGGTTGGGAATCGTGCTGATTAGTTTTTGGTAAAGATCGGCCAGACCGTTTTCTTGTAATAATGTTTTTAAAAAAAAAATTTCGACGATTTTTATGATTTTTTTTTGACGGTAGATACCATAGTTTTCTAGGTCATACTAAAATATCACAGACCTACGACAACTCGTTTAGCTTTAAAAATTCGTCAAAGTTTGCAAAAATTGGTATAGTTTTTTTGACATTTGTCAAAATTAGACTTTTGATCGACGCTTACTCAAAAGCGCCTGAACCGATTTCAGAAATTTAAAAGCCATTTGATGTATTTCGGGGAAGACTATCGTTTGTCAGTTTTGTGCGAAGATCAGCCAAGCCGTTTCTTTGTAATTTGAAAAAAAGTGTTAAACTTTTCGGCCACATTTAAGCTCATCCTACCGAACCGATTTTAAAAAATCAAAAACTGTTCGAAAGATATTAGTTGGGAATGATACTGATCAGTTTTAGGTGAAAATCTACCGAGCCGTATTCTTGTAATTAACCGTTGAAAAAAAATTTAAGCCGATTTTTATGGAATTTTTTTTTAGCGATATATACCATGGTCTTATAGAACTTACTGAAATATTACGGCCTTAAGACAAATAGTTTGATTTTAAAAATTTATCAAAGTTTGAGAAAATGAGTAGCTCTTTTGACATTTGTTAAAATTAAAATTAGACTATTTACTTGGTATAATGATAGAGTACTTGGTCTTGAACATAATAAATCATTAAAGTCCTGAAAACTGGTTCAATTATAAAAATTATTGATTTTTGATAATTTGCTTTTAGAAAATACTCCGAGTTCGTTGGTTTTCAATTACGTGTAATAAATCCACTCGGAATACTTTTAATGACTCATAAATTAATTTATTTTTTATTGATTAAGTCGATTATTTAAATATATCGGGAAGTTCATGTAATTTGCCTCAAGGCTAAATACCAAACCAACTAGTTTAATCTGAATTTTACCGCAATACTCAAAATTTATTTTTCTTCGGTATCTTTCAACAACTGCTGAAAAGGTAGAATTAAGCACTATTTGACATAGTACTAACATAGTATTATATGTGACAGATGAAAATCATATAAAATGTGTTTTTATGCATATAAATTTAAATTATTGGTCATGACAGTGATTGTCCCAGGTCATTAACATCAATCAGTCATAAGTAGGCAAACAATTAGATATCGACTAGCCGTGTATGACATTGTGCGATAGTTAAATTGTACGATTTTTTCTTCCGTGAAACAATAGATGCTGTACACAACTACTATACGAAATTCATATAAAATGCGACATTTTTTTTTTTTTGAATTCCTTGAAAATATATAGAACTTTACATATTCAATAAATTTAAATTAAAAAAAAAATAAATTTGTTAAACTTTAAATCTGTTGATAATAATGAATTCCGATTAAGTATTTTTGTTAGTCCCAGGTTCGCTGGTTCGATTCCCGCTACCGCCGTAGCCCGACATCAGGCAGCTTTGATGTCAAATTTCCACATGGGGTTATAGATTACAATATAATTCCAAGTGAAAATCGTCTTTCGTGGACATTGCTGCAACATCCAATCACATGTTAACTATTAGACGTAAGAGCTAATATCAAAAATATCCCACACATAAGAGAATGGTAAATCGATGGATGAAACAAGTAGTCATAAGTCTTAACCAACAGCTTATAGAACATATAATAGTTTTGATTGCTGTTCAAACAATTACGAAAAAAAAGTATTTCTGAAAAATCGGATTTTTTATGAAACGGAGTAATTTTTACAAATTAAAATATCTTGTTTTTTTTTTAAATTAATTTTTGAAACTTTTAGAAAATTAACAATTATTTTAATTAAATTTTAAGGAATTTGAACATTGTTGATGGAGGAAAAATAAATAATTTAATATTTTGCGACAATAATGAATAATAAATATAATAAGGATAATATGGGACCCTGAATTACCTACTTATTATTAGGTCGTTTTTAAAAATCGGTTATTCGTTTTTTAGTTATAACATTTTCTTGATGCACGTCGGTCTCTAAACACAAGACAGGTACAAAATGAGAAATTTTATGAACACAGAATTTTCATTCATTCCAATCGCTTCAAAATTGACACGGAAAAACTAAGTAGCAAATATGGTTACGAACTCTACAAAAAGTCAGATCGTTTGACTTATATGTGAAATGATTTTTTTGCCATCGAATGTGAACGCTTTTGCGCATTTACCTCGGTATCCTCAAAAACTCTTCGTTAAATAAATTTTAATGATTTGAAAAGGTTTGAAAATATTTTTTTTATTATATTGATACGGATCGAACATACATTTGAATAATTCAAATCGGTTGATACGTTCTCTCGAGAACGAGGCACAAAAAGTTTGTCACAAACACACATTATTCAATATTTTTTAAGATATGTTAAAATGGTCAGAAGGTCTTGAAATGTAAATACACCTATTTTTCTATTTCAATACCTGTCCGTAGTTAATAATTAACAATTAATCTTGCTAAGATGCTAAAAAAATCTAAAATCATTTATATCATTAATTACTGTTGAATAAATATTCCGGAAGTGTTGGCGAATGAAATCGAAAAGGAATGATTATGAGATTTTGTGAAGTTGGCGAAATACCGCGAGTACACACGACGAGTCATCACTCTGCGAAGGTCGCGAACGCTTAAATCTAACTTTGCTGTTAGTTGGAATCGAATCCTACGTCGAGGACGAACACTATTGATGATTTTCGGTTTCCATTTTCATGTGCAGGATTTCAAAAGGGCATTTTGTCATTTTGATTTTTTCTATTATGCAAATTCATCAAAGTTGATCATTTAAGAATTTGACTGTGTGTTTAACGTTTACCCTTTTGCGTTCCATTTCGCAAAAAAAAGTTGAGGGTGAATTTTTCAGCTACAATAGAACAGTTTTTAAATAATAATCTACTATATTAGTAGATTGTAAAATGTATACAACACTGACAATGAGTGTTTTGCCGAATGAGTTAATAATTGTAAATACACTGAATACTCTAAGTGAGACTTGCATACAGCATTCAAAAAATGTTGGCAGTGTGATAACATTTGTTTTTAATTCCAGATACTGAATGATGAAGCAATAATACGACCGAAATAAGACTGCATTTATTGGATACTGAAAAATGAGAGGTGTAAGTACCACATATTTTATTCACATCTAAATATTGTATGCATTTTATTTATAATATTTTTGTAAATAATTTTCTTGCAGTTTTCACTTAATTTTGGCATGGAACAGTTTAAATTTTTGAAATGTTTGCGATATCATAGTCAGTCTCAGCAAATTGCTCCAAAAAATAAAGTAAGAAAAAATAATAGATCTTTTCATATCATACAAAAGACTAATTACGTGTTCAATTTTTTTCATAATTATCATGATATCACGACCATGAAAAGCAAAATTCAAGGTTGCGTTTGGATATAATAGCGTGCTTGGTTGCAAATGTGTTCAAAGTATGTCCGTGTGTACGTAACGTGTAGAAATTAGTCGATGGCTTTTGGGTGTGCTGGTGATATCGGCCTGGACTTGTGTTGGTGGTTGCCCGCAAATACGAAGGAAAGTTATTCTCAATGTGACCCATAGTTATGCAATTGCGCTGCATGTGTCTATGTGCACTGATACTCGTTGATATTCGTTAGCTTGCATAGCCGGTACTGCAGTTTCGGTTTTTGTCTTGCTTGTTTCAATGTTTTATGTGCTCTAAAGTGTGACGCCATATTTCACTTTTTATGGAGAAGTAATTGATAAGTCAGTTTTAACGCCTCAAAACTTTTTTACAATAACTAATGAAGCATCGCACGAGGTTTAGGCAGTATCATTTCGAGAAATTTGCGCATTGACGTATTTTTTTTATTTGCGCTGCAGAACGTTCTCTTAGTCCACTATCATTTGAACATAATAGAGAATAGAACTAATTATCTTATTTATTTCATATTCGGCATTTATTTAATGTATTGTAAAATTGAATTATTATTAATTTATAGTGCACTTATGCAATCTAAAACATTTTGTATGTATAAGACAAATAGCTTTTTGGAATCACAAGATATATTTTTTACTTCCTTTACAGCAAGTACTTAGCTACTCTAATAAATTGCCGAATCTTACTGCACAGTGAATGAAATAAAATGCATACGAATAGAAACAATATTTTAAAGCTAATTTAATAATTGACACAGACAATTAAAAAAATTGCATAGGAACATGTAAGCCGTATCGTTACAAAGTCCAAATTAAACTAAAACAATTTAGCATATTATTAACATCTCTATAAAAAGTCTCTAATTGAGCATAGCATAAGTCAAGTACTCTTTTCTTCTTAAGGTACCAGTACTTAGTCCACAAATGAAAGACATTACCTTGGCAAAGTGTCGATTTGTTTCAACATAATTTACGAATTCGTTACATTTAGCCCAGCGATGCTGAAACTTTTTCAACACGTCCAAAACACACGTTTTCTCGACGGCCGCAAAATAGGCCAAAAAGTTACGGTGAGGCTGAGTACTATTCTCTCCATTGCTCTGAAATGTTTTCTCATAAATTCTTATAACATAAATTCATGCTCTACGCTTTAAAAATCTATATATGTAAAAGAAGATCGTGTTAGTTACTCAAGAATTTTGCAACTCAAGAACGGTTGAACCGATTTAGTTGAAAATTGGCAGGGAGGTAGTTTAGAGCTAGGAGAAGGACATAGGATACTTTTTATCCCATTTTCATTCATTAAAATTAATTAATGATAAACTATCCATTTAGTTTATTCAATCTATGATTCATATTTTATCCATAACATTTAGTTTCAACTGTCAACCGGTGTTTTTGTTTCGTTACAAATATATTAATAAATTTTTTAACCACCATTGTTATAAATAATTATGAAAAATTGTTACTAAGTGGCAAATAAATTAGTTCCTAATATTTATTCACGACAAACCAGCGATGCCAGAAGGACGATGGAGAAATTTAGCATGGAATTTCTTGAACATGTAAATATAACTTCAAATGTTTATTTATATGTATATTTGTTTATACGTATTTAAATAGAGTATTAGAGATGTTTATAATTTAAATTGGCAGGGAGGTAGTTTAGAGCCAGGAGAAGCATATAGGATACTTTTTATCCCGTTCGACTTAAAAATCAATAATAAAACTATTCCATTCGTATAAACAGTGAAGTGAACTATAAACTCGGTGTGGTTGACAAATCATATTTTTCTCAAACACGGTGCTCTGAAAGAACTTTTGTATTGTATAATTGTACATGTATTTGTATAATTATACACTCATTGGTATTTATAAAACATTTTCTAGAATATATTTTTTATGTTATTTAAAATCAGAACCTAAATTTGGAATCGATCAAAGGGACATTTAATCGAATAACTTATTCCCAGTTATAATTTCCCAGAAATTATCGAAGAATGAATAGTAATATATGAAGGTCCGGGGTTAAAATGGTCCATCACCAATGCGTCCAAAACTAGTAAAGTTAAGCATTGTTCAACAACAATATTTGAAAGTAGAGGGGAAAAATATATAACCAGCTATAATCTTGATTCTTATGACTTTGCTATCGGATGATAAACGGTAATCTTTTAAAATCCATAATAAAAGTATTTTCTTCCGTCGATAGTTTTTTAGCATTAGTTGCCAAAAAATGTGATTATTTTGTAAAATACCTTTAAAATTAAAATAAGACATTAAACCTTAAATACGATCAGAACAAAGGTCTCCTTTCCATGCCTTTTTATAACCTTCGTATTTAATTCAAAATGTAAAAATCTAAAATATCTTTCTATCTGAATCAGTTGATAAGAAAACTTTCTTTCATTCAAGTGTGCGCCTCTTCACAATACATGTTTAATTTTAAAATCTTGAGTAATGATAATTTTATTTTTTTATACTGCTAATAATTTAGGAGTCTTATTAATCTTATTAAATCTCAAAGAGGTTGCTTTGATGTAGATTTAATATTCATTGCAGTTGTCTTTGAATAGTCCATAAGAGGTCTTTGTATAGCACGGTTTGTAAAATTAGAATTTGTGTTATATATTATACATATAAAATTATAATTTTCCAAAATATTACCATTAATTATTCAAAACCTATATTATTTACGAATCTTCTAATGTTAGCTGGTTAGTATAAAAATATTGCAGTGATCTTTTTTAGCGGGTCGTAAAAACGTTGTAATTATTTCGCATTTTTTCATAATTTTTGTTTGTTGCGGTGTATCTATTGATAAATGAAGTAATAAATAGACATATGGAATTGATTATAAAATTTGCACTACTATAAACCGCATGACCACGGTTGTCGAAACCCGGTGGATGTAGAATTTCTAGAGTTTGACTACTCGTATATGCAATATTTCTGGTTGATGTTCCATTACTAATATTAACGGTTATACACGTAATAATTTTACAAACTTTACTATAAATTTGGCAAACTTTTTGTCTCTAACAAATACATTTTCAATGATATTTATCTGAATAATCATTCGATGTTCAATTTCCAAGTACTTCATGCAGATTGAAAAAAACCTTAGAAATTTGTATGAATTTATAAAATTGAGCACTGTAGCCATACCTACAAAATAACTGGGCTGACTACTATATTTCAAATTCAGATTCATTATTCAGATATATGAGTTCAAAAAATTCATTGAAACAAAAATTTAATTCAGCCTCCATAATCATAAAAATAATAAATAGAATTTTAATCAATGACATTAAATTGATAATACTGTTATTTAGTTAGTACATTTGAACTGTTTTGTAAATATTATACTTGATAATTAGAAATTTGAATAACATATCTTGAACAACATTGATTTATCTAGTATGGTTCAATGATTTGATGCAATTCATTCAACGGAGCATTGTTTTAATTTAATATCTGAAGTTAATTAATGATAACAATAACGATGAAATTAATTGTATACAAGTGAGCTACAATACTTGATTAGAATAAATTGATGATTATATTCAAATAATTGAATCAGGAAATTAAAAAAATATGGCAAATATATTTTGGTCGAATATGTATTATTCAAATGTGATATCCAAATTTGTATTTATTTTATGGCACGTCATTGAAAATTGTCAAATCAAATATATCATAATAACTATTTTATTAATTTGAATTTATTAAATTAATTCATTTTTTCATTGACCTTGATTTAATATGAAGGCTGTATGTTATTTTATTATTTTTATTGTCTTGTCGTAAATACATAATATGAGACTAGTTTTTCATAGTGTACTTCGAAAGGTTAAGTATTTTGTAAGTTTATTCAAATGTGAAATAAAATTATCAAAAGCGAAAATTGGTTAGAAGGTAATTCTCGCCATCATGATCCTTGTGCAATATTCATTTGGTTGCATCTTATCCTAAGTGGTTGAACTCCTTGCAGGGATCCTTAAAGGTTGTTTTATTAGGCATTCTTATTAATCTGTATTTATCGATGTTGATCTCCATTTTGCTCCCCCTTTCCGCTTTGTCGATTTTGTCCAGCAATAATTTGTAATAAGTTGTAATTTTCGATAAAACCACCAGCGACCTCTAAAGTAGCGATTTTTCTGTCTCCAATTGAAAAATCGTTACTGCCTTCAAGTGTCTTTTTGACTAAATGTTCTGCATCATCAAATTAGCTCTTGCAGTAGTCATCATGTCGTTCACGCTCTTTGTTTTCAAGTACGTAGTTTTGATATCCCCAGCATATTCCATGTTGTCTTCCGCTTTTTGGATCATGGTATCTGTGACCATGGGATTGTTTCTGCGGTTGAAGACTAGTATGTTTTCTCGAACGTTCCGTCCGCCTAGCCCATAATTTTCCACTACCCAACATAGCCGATTTCGATGTTTCCATAGATCTGTTGACCCTCCCTACGACGTGGGCGTATTTTTGTCGGTCAAATCATGAGGACATATGGAAACAGTATTTTTATCAGATGTAAAATTAATGTAACATTTTTTGCAACACATAATTTATTAATGAATATACAGGTGATTACTCAATACTAATAATTTAAAATATATTTGAGTTCTAAAGGTGATATACCTTTATTCATTTTAATAAAACATTTAACCAACAAATTGAACTTCTAAAATAAGTTTAGAATTCAGAAT